ACGGAAGACGTGTGGTATCTGGATCCCGGGACATGAGCGTGCGGGTGTGGGACGTGGAGACGGGAACACAAGTCGGGGACGCATTACTTGGACACACGGAGAGGGTATATATCGTTGCAATGAGTGGGGACGGAAGACGTGTGGTATCTGGATCGTGGGACGGGAGCGTGCGGGTGTGGGACGTGGAGAGAGGGATCACACTTCATACCGGGAGGGAAGAGGATTGGGAAGAAATCACGGAGCGGTTCCTGAGAACGGCAGACTTTGGTACCGCTTCTCGAGCAGGACGAACATCACAAATATTTTCAAGGGAGGGAGCAATTGTGCAAAGGCGCGAAGATGGGTCTGAGGCCGTCTTGGTCCAGTTGGACGGTCGAGCACACTTTCAGATAGACCACGATCATGGGGTCGTAGTTGCAAGGGCGGGCCATCTGGTTGCTATCATGAAGCTAGTGGTGTAAGTGAGCATCGAAGTGCGATGGCCGCTTGTCGCCCGAGACATTAGAATGCGTTGCGACTGTGCGTGGTAGTGGTGGGGAGTGCTTTTTGTTTTATTATTGCTTTGTTATGAATGCGTGAAAAGCTCGCCTCACGAACTTTGCAGTCCATGTATGTGTATGTATGAACTAGCGACCTGCATCCCTTCATCGTGCGATCTTGTGCCCAGTATAATACTAATGTGCAGGCACCTGGCCATCATATGCGTCAGTTGCGTGTGAGTAAAGATGTGGAGGTAGTTGTATGTTGCTCTTGTGTTCACTTTAATATCTTGTGCAATTCTCACTGTTAAGAGGCGATGAGTACACGTGCACAGGTTCACACGGGCACAGGGTTCACACGTGTGACAAGAAAAATGATAAACGAGGCCAACTTCTTTCCTCAGTTTTACCATAAATTTCAATTTTACTACAGTATAAATTTCAATTTTACCAAAAGAGCTTCCATCTTCTCAGGGCCGTTCCTAACGACGAGCACGGTGTGCTAGCACGCAAGCACCCTGACATTTGGCATGAATGGATTGGTTGAACGGGAGTAAAGCATTTCCAATATTTTTTTCAACCAATACATTCATGCCAAGTTTCAGGGTGCTGGCACGGCGAACTCTTCGTTAGGAACGGCCCTCAGGGGCGTTACATTGCAACGACCACAGAC